CTAAACCCTAAGCCCTAAGCCCTAAGCCCTAAGCCCTAAGCCCTAAGCCCTAAGCCCTCACCCTTACCCTCACCCTTATACTACTCACCCTCACCCTCACCCTTACCCTCACTCTCACCCTTACCCTTATACTACTCACCCTCACCCTCACCCTTACCCTCACTCTCACCCTTACCCTTATACTACTCACCCTCACCCTTACCCTCACTCTCACCCTCACTCTCATCCTTACCCTCACTCTCACTCTCATCCTTACCCTCACTCTCACCCTTACCCTTATACTACTCACCCTCACCCTTACCCTCACTCTCACCCTCACTCTCATCCTTACCCTCACTCTCACTCTCATCCTTACCCTCACTCTCACCCTTACCCTTATACTACTCACCCTCACCCTCACCCTTATCTTCCCCCTCTATTCTACCGACTCGATCTTCTCTATTACCCTCGACCTTATCCGTATTATCTACTCCCCTTATCCATCATTTTATATTCCCTACCTTATTCGTAACACAAATCTTGCTTATATTCCTTCTTACCTACCAATCTTATCCCAATTTGAATCACCGATATAATCCTTTCCGATCCGATATTCAATCTACATATATATCCTCGAATTGCAATTTGGAATATGTATTCAACCGTATAATATATAACTGAATCGAATTACACGAATATATATCTCCGACTATACCCTCGAATATCCTCGAATTTTCTACCTCGCGATCTACCGAATTGTCCAATCTAATCGTTCTGAAACCTTGACTACTATATCCCGATTTACCTCTACTATATCTACTACCCTTGTTATGTCTTTCCTATACCTCGGACTATAATTATACCCTTAATTCTATCAATCCCCCTTATCGACTTATAATCCTATTTATACCCCTCCTAATCTATGAAATAATCACTAACCTATATCTAACTACTAATCTTATATCTCTTATCTCCTTACTATCTACCTAATCTCTTTATTACTTATATTATACCTATACCCTATGTACTAACTAAACCTCTTCCCTATCTTACTATTTTAAACCCTCCCCCCTCTTATTATTATAAACCCTTCCCCTTATCACTATTATACACCCTTCCCCCTCTTACGTATTGAAACCCTCCCCCCTTGTATTATTATAAACCCTTCCCCTTATCACTATTATACACCCTTCCCCCTCTGACGTATTTAAACCCTCCCCCCTTGTATTATTATAAACCCTTCCCCTTATCACTATTTTAAATATTTCCCTTATCACTATTGCAAACCCTTCCCTTATCACTATTGCAAACCCTTCCCCTCTTACTATTATAAACCCTCCCCCCTCTTACTATTATAAGCCCTCCCCCCTCTTACTATTCTAACCCTTCCTTCGATCTATTCGGAATTCCTTCTACCTTATATATTGAATCCTTTATTATAATACTATGCTTAATACCCACCTTATATTATACCTTTTACCTCTATTATACTCCCTTCCCTTATTTATCTCACCCTAATACAATATATCCCTGGAATATATACCAATACTCTCGCTATAAACCCCTTACCTCGACTTATTACTCTTATCCTCTCCGAATTCAAAACTCCTCCCTTATTATAATACTAACCCTACCCTCTAACCGCTATTTGAATCCAATTCGCTTTACTAACTTATATATACTATGATATAAATTGACTATTACGGCTTGATAATACCACTTACCGCTATATCAATACAAAATATTCAAATCCCAATATTTGATATATCTATAACAAATATATATCTTACTGCTTCACCTATTACACCGTGATATATATTTCCGCCAACCTACAAAATACTCCGGAAAAAACCTCAATGTAAAACCTAAATATAAATGACTGATGGCGAAATCCGAACTTTTGACACTGGGCCTGCCTACCGCAAACCTCCGACTATACTATCCTATATGATGGGACTAACCCCGTACACCAAGCCGGTGCTATACGCTAAAATGGATAAAATCACTACTTAACCGATATATATTGGCGCTGTACTAGTTTTATACGCCCCCCCTTACGGGCTTCTACCCCGAAATATCTAACCTACGTACTTAAATACTCTACCTATCCCCTCTCCCAGCCTTTTCACACCTTATACGTCTCCTACTTCCTTACTATTACTTCTCTGCCTATTACTCTCTTACTATTACTTCTTACTATTACTTCTTACTATGACTTCTCCGCTTACTATACTCCCTACTCCTATTTTCTGACGGCCGTCACAATTTATGCTTTTTTTGACCTATCTATATAACGCAAATCCTATAACACTATATCCCTTACGTTCTACACTACTAACCCTGACCGTTCACACCGCTAATCCTTACCCTTCCACTACTATAACCCTTACCCTCTACACCACTAACCCTTACCCTCTATATTATCACTTCCAAGTCCACTATACTCTCTCTTGGAATCTTATATACGCCTTTTGTAAACCTCCTACACTCACTACCATTTTCTGACGGCCGTCACCTTTTATGCCTTTTTTGACCTACCTACAATAACCCTTACTCTCTATACTATTAACCCTCACCCTCTACACTATTTACCCTCACCCCTTAACTACTTATACGTGTACTATACTCTCTTATATTCTATATACACCTCTCCTAAACCGCCTACACTTACTACTATATTCTGATGGCCGTCATATTTTATGCCTTTCTTGACCTACCTATAATAACCCTTCCCCTTTTTATTAAAACCCTTACCTTCTACACTAAAACCCTCACCCTCTATACTAAAACCCTCACCCTCTATACTAAAACCCTCACCCTCTATACTAAAACCCTCACCCTCTATACTAAAACCCTCACCCTTTTACTACTTATACGTCTATTATACTCTCTCCTATTCTATATACACCTTTTCTAAACCTCCTACACTCACTACTAAATCCGGACTACTAGTATATTTCATACCTTTTGTGACCTATCTACAATAACCCTTACCCTTACCTTTCACTATTAAGCCTACCCTTTTACTACTTCGGATACGTCTACTATACCTTCTCGTTAATCCTTATAGCCGTCACTATTTCTATACAAATCCCCGATTCTTACTACTCCTTTTTGATTGCTATCACTACGATAACCCTCACCCTCTATACTATGATTTCTATATCTATTATACTCTCTCGTTAAATCCTATATACGCCTTTTCCAAATATCCTACACTAAACCTACCCTCTAAACCACTAAACCTTACCCTCTATACTACTAATCCTCACCCTCTACACCACTAGCCCTCACCCTCTACACTACTAACCTTACCCTTTATACTTATAACCCTTATCCTCTAAACCACTGATCCTTACCTTCTACACTCCTAACCCTCACCCTTTTACTACTACTTATACTCACTACTAAATTCTAACAGCCGTTACCCTTTATTACTTTTTTGACCTATTTATAATAACTCTCACTCTCTTCCGTTTACTACCCTATTACTACTTCTTATATAGCTACTATACTCTCTCTTTTATACCTTATAGCCGTCACTAGTTCTTTACTAATATTACTCCTCTCTGATTGCTGTCACGATTATATATTCTTTATTGGAATCTCTACCTCTTACTTCTGTCCTCTATATCTATTCTTATCTAATCCTTACTTTTATTCTTTTGATTGCCGTCACGCATTATATATATCTCGTATTCCAATCCACTACTGCAACCCTTACCTTCTATACCGTTGACCCTTACCTGAATATCCTAAGCCCTTACCCTCTACACCGGTAACCCTCACCCTCCACCCTAGCCCTTACCCTCCACCACTAGCCCTCACCCTCTACACTCCTAACCCTCACCCTTTTACTACTACTTATGCGCTTTTTCTAAACCTCTTATACTCACTACTAAATTCTAACAGCCGTCACACTTTATTGCTTTTTTGACCTATTTATAATAACTCTTACCCTTACCCCTTGACTACTAACCCTCACCCCTTGACTACGAACCCTTACCCCTTTACTACTAACCCTCACCCCTTAACTACTAACCCTCACTATCTACACTACTACTTATTCCTAATAACTATCCCTATATCTTATATTCCAATCCTCTAATACTACTCCTTTCTAATTGCTGTCACCTATGATCTCTTCTATAATAATACCCTATTCTTACTACTTTCTAATTGCTGTCACGCATTATGTTTATCTCGTATTCCAATCCACTACTACAACCCTTACCTCTATACCGTTGACCCTTACTCTCGAAACCACTAATCCTTACCCTCTACTACTAGCCCTTACCCTCTACACTCCTAACCCTTACCCTTTTACTACTACTTATACGCTTTTTCTAAACCTCCTATACTCACTCCTAAATTCTAACAGCAGTCACACTTTATCCCTTTTTTGACCTATTCATAATAACTCTCACCCTCTTCCGTTTACTACCCTATTACTAATTCTTATATAGCTACTATACTCTCTCCTTTATACCTTATACCCGTCACTAGTTCTATACTAATACCCTATTCGTACTACTTCTTTCTGATTGCTATCACGCCTTATCTATATCTCTTATTCTAATCCTCTACTTCTACTACTTCTAACTTCTATCATATATATATATCTCGTATTCCAATCTACTACTACAACGCTTACCTTTTATACCGCTAGCCCTTACCCTCTAAACTCCTAACCCTCACCCTTTTACTACTACTTGTACACTTTTTCTAAAGCTCCTATACTCACTACTATATTCTAACAGCCGTCATAATTTATTGCTTTTTTGACCTATTGATAATAACTCTTACCCTCTCCTTTTGATTACGAACCCTCACCCTTGACTACAAACCCTTACCCTTGACTACAAACCCTCACCCTCTATACTACTAATCGCTACTAATTGTTATCTCTTCTATAATAGTTCCTTATTCTTACTACTTATTTCTAATGGCCGGTACTATTTATATATATCTTATATTCTAGTCCCCTACTTCTAGTACTTATTCCTAATAACTATCACTATATATATCTCGTATTCCAATCCTCTAATACTACTCCTTTCTAATTGCTGTCACCTATGATCTCTTCTATAATAATACCCTATTCTTACTACTTTCTAATTGCTATCACTATATATATCTCTGATTCTAAGCCTATATATCTACTACTACTACCGTCCCTTTGCTATATTCCAATCCTCTAAACTATACCCTCTCGCCACGCTCGATCCACTGCTTTCGAAGCCAAATATACTCGTGTACCAATTTCACCGTGTCTCCGTCATGCCGTGACCCCAAAAACCGTACAAGCCCATTCTCGTCATCGATATAAACCCCCTGCGTACGTAACCGGCGTGCCCATGCTTCCTTGATCTCCTCACTTCCCTCGCCGTACACCATAACAGCCAGCCCCGATAACAATAACCCCCGATAAACGCAATGCCCCTGGCTCCCTGGATTGATAAAACGGCTGCAAATCGTCTGCGGCATTCCACACCCGTAACAGCCACTAAATGCGGCAAATTTGATCTGCCGGCGTACCCGAATCCACCAGTTCTTGGCTGAATCCTGACTAGTTCGGGGCTGGATCCCACACTCG